CTCGTCGTGCCCTTCGGGCCAGTCCTCAGCTGTCACAGCTTCATCTTGACAAACCAATGAAACCCATAGACAGTGCCGTTTTCTGGATGGAGTTCGTCATGAGGCACAAGGGTGCAGCCCATCTGCGCACAGAGTCATANATGACGTCACACATAATTTGGGGGGATTTGAAGAATCCCCGAGAGGATCCAGAAAATGGTCAACATTGAAGGGCAGATTAATGGTTATCAAAGTACAAATATCGAAAATCAGTTCAGTAACGGTTTTCAAGGGGACAATATTTACTCAAATTGATGGGTTTGGATGATGGGGGAAACTCGTGTCACAGGCTCTTTAAGTTGGCGTGACGTTGAAGCAGCGACCCTGCTGTAGTTCGTTTATAGCATAACGTTAGCATTTTGCTTCTGGCGACTAGATTTATGATTCGAAAATTATAAAAGTAGGGTATGTGGAGATTATCCGGCTGAACAAAACGTGATCTGTCTCTTAAATGTGTGTCAACCACAGACCTATTTTCCAAAATCCTACAGTATGGAGAAATTGCATTGCTTGTTGACGAAGGAACCGGAAAGAGTTTACTTCCAGGTTTTAGGACGCGTCACTGCGGTTCTCTATTTGTGTGTGTGTGTGTGTGTGTGTGTGTGTTTTATCTGATCCAGATGGCTACTTCCTTTTTTTATGGCGGCCATTTTTGACCGGGAACACCATGGGTGTTACAAAGTTGACTAAATCATCCAAAATTCAATGAAAGTGGTGATCAGCAATTGTATATGTTCAAATGTCTACTGCGAAGGATATCATAAAGCCTTAATGCAATTGAATGTAAACAAAAAAGTTATGATTGATGAAAGTAGTAAATCGGTCAGATTTGACCCGAAGACAACAGGAGGGTTAAATGCATTTCAAGATACTGTTTAATATGATTCAGATCCTTTATTACAGTAAAAGTCCAGAAGCATTAGCAGGAAATGCATTGAAAGTGAAACTAGTCATTAATCTGCACATCAGTCCCTGTAAATGAGAATATATATAGTACTTCTCTATTAATATCAGTGACGTGGACATCATTTATGGTAAGAGGGCCAGTAGGGGCAGTAACAGCAACAAAAACACCATGCACCAAATAAGATGAAACAAATTATACATATAGGCCAGCAACAAAGACACTATAAATAAAAACTATGTATGAAAGCTTGACTACTTGGTTTGCAAGAAAACCTCATATTTTGCAAATAGAAAGTTGGACGTGTGTTCAACACTATTCCCTGAAAAGTAGGAAGTGGCGTCGGAAGGAAAGTAATACTGCAACATCTTCACTTAAAGGAATAGTTCAACATTATTGCCTATTCACTTTCTGATGGGCGGGTTTAACAAGGGGAGAAATACCTCACGTCCGTCTGTTAGCTATAAAGCTTCTGTCAGGAGCTAACTTTGTGTTGCACAGAGACTCAAAACAGCCAGCCTTGTTGTATCCAAAGATAAAAAAATCTGCACCTCAAAAGCACACTGATTAGTGTTATCTCTTGTGGTCTTCATACAAAGCTGACAAAAATGGTATGGCTTCAAATTAAACAATATTGATCAACTCATTTAACCGACCCTAGAAAGCAGGGAAGCGTATTGCTCAAAATGTCAGACTATACTTTATTTTCTTTGAATGCTTCTTTGTCCAGCTCTGAAAGTCAGCAGATATTTATATGTATGACATATGGAACATACCTTGCCTGATCCAAAAAGAAAAGGTCATTAATGACATCATTTTAAACCTTAATGTAACTCAATCCATAAATGTCAAATGGGGAACATCCTGTACCCGGTTTTAGCCGGTAAGTCTAACAGACTGTTTCTCTTGGGCAGCGTTTAGAAAGGCAGCGATGTGCACTAATGACCACCATTTCCTGTTTTGACTCGAGTTGGACCATTAAGATAAGGTACCGCACATGCTATTCTATTGGGCGTCTGACCTGACAGGAGTTCATTGTGTCCCAAACAACAGCCACAAAGCCAAATACTCTCTCCAGCTCTCCTCTCTTTCACAGACTGCACACGCACAGACATTAGCAGTTATAACTTTTTCAAGGAAAACTAAACAAAACATAAGCAAATTCCAGTTATTATTACAAAGCCTCCTCAGAGAAGACATCTTTCTCTGACGATTCTCTTGCTGAATCACATCTTAATGTGTTTGTGTTGTGAGTTGCAGTTAGTTCTCTAACCGTCTCATAAAATCACTCCACATATTATCACTCACGCAAGTGTAAGTGTGCAAATCATTAGATAAACAAAGAAAGAGAGTGAGATACAAAAAGCAACAATGGAGTCCATTAGATAGCCGGCAACTCTCTAAACCTGCTGTCTATTTCTTACTATTTATATGTGACTGCTACTTGAGCAGCTGCTTCACTCAACAAGGAAGTCACTTCCTCGCTGCATAAAGCAAGGTGTTATATGTCACAGGTCTATTTTTACCCTCATATTGGATCTATGTTGCACTCCGTATGACCACATGGCCTGGATATGTCACATTTAACTAGAAACCCACTGCGAGGAGTCTTCTATGCATTGTTTTGGCATGCTCTGTGCAGAGGCTCACCTGCGCTGTCACACCCGCCCCGCCTCAAGTGTTCCAGCTGGGGAGGCTCCATTCTGCACTGCTCTCCAAGGAAGCAACCAGCAGAGCGGATAAAGACCGTCCGACACAATCCCCACACACTGGATTATAAACCGGTGGCGATGGAATAGATGCTTTTTTTTAAAGAAACTAAACCCCTCTGCCAAAGCAACCCCCAACCCTTCGAGCCCTCTCTTTTCACGCCACATGTGACATATGATAGCAGCACACTGGGCTTGTCCTTTAATGTTTGCCAGGGCCAGAGTTCACAACATACACACATGGTGAAGGAGAAGCTGCACTCAGAGGGCGTGTCAGTGCAAAGGTCACTTAAAAGGGTGACTGTTGTTGCACAGGGGACGACATCTAATCAAACCGCTCATCATGCATGTCCAGTTTAAGAAACGCTGTCACTGAATACACTCTTCAACAAATGTTGAGGGTGGGATTTGAGAACAGACTCAAAGGTTCAGACATGGCTTTGAAAATTATGCACTGCAGTATTTATCCTTACAGTACAGAACAGTTATGGCTTAAATGTTTATTGACTATGTAATAATATCTAAAATCCTAACTTTGTAACGAGTTCATACTAATTGTTACAAAATACTGTACTGTTCAAACAAGTGTACAAAGCCTTAAATACCTACACGAAATTCTACGAATGTCAATCAGATGACGACAAAAAAAAGTGAACAAAGAAAAACCAGCAAGCATGATTTTTTAAGAGATTACCATGTTTGTCTTAAAAGGGACTCTGTTATGATTTTGTTTTTTTCCTTTTCCTGTAGTGTGTTATATAGGTTTTTGTGCCTAAAAACGCCTCTATTGGACTCCTTTGTTTACTTCCGTGAGATACTGACATCACTATGTAACAATCGCTCTTCTATTGGCTAGGGCTTCAACTAGGGTTGCAAAATTCCGGGAATTTTCAAAGATGGAAACTTTCCATGGGAATTAACGGGAATAAACGGGAATTAACATGAATCTATGGGAATAAACTGGGAATTTTCTAAATTGAAGGTTGGCTCTTCATCGATTCTCTAAAGTACCGCAGTCTCTTATCCTAAGTCCTTTTGAATTCTCCTATCTACTATCCCTTAACCCCGTGACGTTTCACTCAGAGGTCAAGGAATAGGAGATAAGGTTAGAATTTAGGAGCTGATTTTTGGATTATCGGAACGCAACCGAGGAAAAGGACCAGACAATAAACCAGGAAGAAAACAAGACAGGGAGAACAGCAAAATCAACCCAAACATACAAAACTACAAACGTGACATAACATAAGAATCCTGACAGATATGAACCTGAAAATAGCTAAATTAGGTCCACTTTAAGATTTGAAAGTTTGGTGTCCTCTTTCTTAAGCTGACTTACCCACCATCAATTCTCCTAGAATTATTCTGATGATCTACAGTTTTTCTGTGTTTTGAATTGTTTAAGAACAATGTGCTTCTAACTGGCTGTTTAGAATAAGGGACTTCAAAAAGGCAATATACCGACTCTTTGCAGCTCCCTCTGGAGTCATACAAATACTTTTGAACTTTCTGATCAAATGTTTTCCTTGTGAGCAGATTTGAAACAATGTTGACTGAAGAAAACTTGATTAGTTTTTGTATCCTGCAGGCAAACCATTGTATAACCTTCAAACATCACCAAACCAACTTTCTACTCTTTAATAAACAAAAGATTCTTAAGCGGAAGATAAACCACCTATGTTTTTCCCCATCATTCTCAAAGTGGTAAGAAGGTTTGACGTTTTATATAAAAAAGTT